TAGGAAGCCGCCCTGCCCAAGAGCGGAAATGAAAGGATGAAGGAAGTGTGGACAGCTGTGGAACATGGGGGGAATGCTGACAGGGAGAGTCCAGACCAGCTCAGGTGAGGCGCCCAAGGTCACTCCACTGACCCTGGGGCTGAGCATCAGAACCTCAGCCACTTACAACCACATCCCTGAGAGCCAGAGTCCAGCTCACCACTGTCCTCACCAAGAAAGGGACTTCCAGGGAGCACCTGGATGGCTTAGTCAGTTAAGCGTCTGACTCTTGATTTCAGCTCAGGTCATGATGTGGAGGTTCATGAGTTTGAGTCCCACGTCAGTCTCTGTGCTGACAGCATGGAGCCTGCTTGGGGTCCTCTCTCTTTCTTTCTCTCTGCCCCTCTCCTGCTCTCCCCACCCTCTCAAAATAAATAAACATTAAAAAGAAAAGAAAGGTGCCTGCCTCCCTCCTGCCCACCTACCACCCTTTTGCCATTCACAGCCCCTCACAAGCATCTGATTGGCAGAGGCTGAGCTCTAGTTGGGAGAAAGACTCATGGTTCTGCTTTCTTCCTTGAGCAGGCAGGCCTCTCCAAATTTAGGGAATGTGGTCAAAAGATGCTGGAAAGGCTAAGATGGTAATTTTGATGTGATATGGATTTCTCTTACCATAACTAAAACATTTGTAATGCTCAAGCAGCCAAAAGGCATGTCATGGGGCCACTACAGGTAGTACTTATTACCCTGGGAAAGGCTATGAAAAGTCTGAGGCTTTGCCCTACTTGCAAGCTAACAAGCTAGCCTGCCACCATTTCATGGAGACTGGCAGAAGACAGGAGACTCGTGGGTCAGAGACAAAGGACTGTATTACTTAAAACAGAGCGGGCATCGTGAGTTTCATGCTTGCGCTGTTCCTCTTGCCCCACAAGTCCCATGGGGTGATGTGAAGCAGCCCAAGTGGGTGCCACCACACAGTGGGTCTGCATCACAGCTGAGGAGCCCCAGGCTTAGCGAACTCAAGTCTTTTATAAGGAACTACAAGCAAATCTGCCCAACCTTTGCCCTGGAAGGAGACAATATGGGACAGTAAACAAACCTGCCCTCTGCTCTGAAGAGAGATAGTATCTCCCTCTTCCAAGACGGTTCAATATACAAACATACTTTGTCCAGAACAAAGGCGTGCATGTCGTGGAACTCAAGAGCAGGACAGGACAGGGCATTGCAAACAGCGGCCACAGCCTCTGTGGTCAACACCCTCTCAGAGGAGCAGTGCCTAATGTGGTCAAGAACCAGGCCCCACGGCAACAGGGACAAGGACAAGGACCAGGGAAACTCCAGATTCTCACATGAGCTGATATAACAGGGATAGAGACTCAATAATAGCCCCTGCCAGTTGTCCTGCCAGCCAGGTAGGAGTGGCTCCAAGCCAATTTTAAGTTTATTTTGAAAAATACAGAAATGTGGCACCGCTCAGGCCCAGGTGTTTTAGAAAACAGCTCCCACTGCTGTGTAGTGGCCTGTCTCCTCTCTCTCTGGGACTACTCAGCAGCTCACCCATCACCTATTCTCAGCTCCAGCCCCCATTCCGAGTCCCTGGCCTTATTCTACCCCAAGACAATACAGCAGTGGCAGAGTGAGGGGGGTATTATTTTTACCCCATCTCATCTCAAAAGGATTCTAATTAACCAAAAAAAAACCAAAAAAAAAACCAACAACAACAACAACAAAAAAAACAACAAAACCATGCAAAACAAGACTTGTTGCATCAAATAAGAGGCAAAATTGAGGTAAAGTGGCCTTAATTTTGTACCCCGTTACTCCATGGGTCTCTGGATTGGGCTGTGAGTTTCCTGGTGGCCATAGCAAAAAGGGAAGTAATAACATCATCAGATACAAAACATAAATACAACACGGTTATTCAGAAGAAAGCTGGCCATTCCTGTACTAACATGGGAGAGAGATTTCTTCCCTGGTCCTCTTTGAGATAGCATCATGTGATGTAATAAAAGCATCCTCGGGGCACCTGTAGCTCAGTCACTTGGGCGTCTGACTTCAGCTCAGGTCATGATCTCATGGTCTGTGAGTTCAAGCCCCATGTCAGGCTCTGTGCTGAGCCTGGAGCCTGCTTCAGATTTTGTGTGTCTCTCTCTGCCCCTCCCCTGCTCATTCTCTGCCTCTCTCAATCTCAAAAATGAATAAATGTTAAAAAGAAATTTTTTTTAAAAAAAGCATCCTCAACAATATCCCTTCCACAAATACAGCAATATATCTGTTGTGACACTTTCCCGCAGTCTCCCTTAGTGAAGGATACATGTATCCAATTCAATTCAATGAGAGAAGTTCTAAGGGGCTAGAGAAATTCTAGCCATGGGCTTCTCAGAGGTCTCTCAGAAAGATTTAGAGGTTTGCCTTGGTGACGTGGGCCTCACCTGCTGGCTTGACTTGCCTAGACCTGCTCTGGCCTCATTACTGAGCCTTCTGCTTGTGATGGAGTTTCCTCAATGGCCCTTCTCTAATAGCCTGGCCTCCACATTGTTGCCTTAACCCAAAGCCCTTGCGGCTTCCCCTCCCACACCTGTGGCAGACATCACTAATCCATCCCAGCACTGATCCTCAGTCCCTGTCCAGGATCAGATGACCGGAGGGCTGTAACAATGTCTGCAATCAGCGTAACCAACAAAAGATATCCAGGACACCTACACGCCAGTAAGAAAACGATAAATAGCCCAAAAGAAAGATAGGCCAAAGATCTAAACAGGCCTTGCAAAGAAAGAAACTACCAATGGCCAGTCCACATCAAAAGTTGTTCAGGCTAACTAGTAACGAAGGAAATGCAAATGCGAACAAGAAGAAAACACCAGTTTGCACCCAACAGGCTGGCAAAGCTCCTCGCGGAGCACGTGAAGAGACAGAAATTGTAGTTGGTGGTGGGAGCGTAAATTGGTGCTACCACTTTGGAGAATAGTTGGATGATTCTTAGTAAAGCTGAAGGTGTATAAACATCACGACCCCAGGGGCGCCTGGGTGGCGCAGTCGGTTAAGCGTCCGACCTCAGCCAGGGCACGATCTCGCGGTCCGTGAGTTTGAGCCCCGCGTCGGGCTCTGGGCTGATGGTGCAGAGCCTGCTTGGAATTCTGTCTCTCCTCTCTGCCTCCCCCCTGCTCATGTTCTCTCTCTCTCTGTCAAATAAATAAACATTAAAAATGTTTTGATTAAAATATGTACATATTATACAGAATAAGTCAAAATATTTCAAACAAATAACCTTGTTAGAGTATAGATATTTGTTACATCGTTTTCCGGATTTTTCCATATGTTTCAAATATTTCAAAATTTGTGATTAAAAGCAAAACAAAGAGTACTACGATCCTGTGCTGATGCTAGTCAGAGCAGGGATGACGGCAGAGCAGGGATGACGGCAGAGCAGGGATG